CCACGGTATTACACAGTTTACATACGGATATCCCGAGACCACGGTATTACACAGTTTACATACGGATATCCCGAGACCACGGTATTTCACAGTTTACATACGGATATCCCGAGACCACGGTATTACACAGTTTACATACGGATATCCCGAGACCACGGTATTACACAGTTTACATACGGATATCCCGAGACCACGGTATTACACAGTTTACATACGGATATCCCGAGACCACGGTATTACACAGTTTACATACGGATACAAATGCGGATGCTCATTCGTTCTATATTTTCTAACCGCCTCCGTGGTGTAGTGGTTAGAGCGTCCGCTCGGAGAGGGGAAGGTCGCGGGTTCGATCCCCGACCGCATCATACCAAAAAACGTTAAAATATGGTACTTGTTGGTCCCTGCCTGGCGCTCGGCATTAATGGGTACAACAAGGACTGGTCTGCTCGGAGTCAGTATAATGTGTCTGAGTGGGGTATTCATGCTTCTCTGCGGCATGGTATCTCAGTGGGCTAGCACTATAAAACCAGCTTAAGTCTGGGCTAGTACAAGCACCGCACATACACATACACACGCATGCACGTCGTCATATGAGCGAAATATTCTCCAGCACGACGTTAAAACCCAATTTCACCTCACCTATATTTTCTAGGCGGTAGGGTAGCCTAGTGGTAAAACGCGTTCGCTCGTCACGCCGAAGGGTACAATGTGTGAAGCCGACTTCTGGTGCCCCCAGCCGTGATATTGCTGGAATAAAGGTAAAAGCGGATGAAAAACTAAATTCACTCCCTTACTATTTGTTCTGATATCAAACACCACACAGAAAACCTCAGCCAACATACACTTTGACTTAGCACTGCGTATTATGCTACATCGTTTATGTATGTAGATACATTTTAGAATATTTTCACTGTTTCTGTATATTACATTAGTACCTATCTATCTATTTATTTATCTCAATTTGAGTCGCGTCCTATCTCCACGTTCCAGTCACCTGCTGGGTCTGCTGCCACCATCTTCTCATGACCTCTTGGACACTGGTCAGTTTCGTGAACCGGGTCACGGTGACCTCACGCTCTAAGACAAAGGACATGTTTATTCCATATGGCCACGCGATATTTATTCCATGGGGCCACGCGATGGTCATCCTCGTTCTAAGGCTGATGTGTTGTGGAGTGCTGTGTTTATGTTGTGACGCTGATCTGTACATGAAGTGTTGAGTAATGGGCTATGTTGCGGGTGATTGTGTAGACTGTGGAATGACGCGGTTTAATCATGAGACTTAATTGAACTGTGCAAGATATACTATCCTTCTCAACCCCTGTAACACAATCTTAGCTTATCAGTTCTTCTAAGGGAGTTTGACAATGCTAAGACAGCAAGCACCATGCACTGGGATAGATAATTTTAGACATGACGCTATTCTATTTCATTAAGTCTCCGACGGTGAGGCGTGGTACCAAAAACACCACTCATGCGTCATTTACTCTCTGTCTCCCCGCCTCATGCACTGAGTCCACTAAATGTATAGTTTAAGACATGCCACCTCAGACAAAAACAAAGAAACACTCCTCCCCAAAATTATAAACAAATAAACAACCAAACCAACAACAATGAAACCCATGAAAAATAACAACGGTTATCACCATCTGGACACGATATAGAATAATCTCTAATAGTCTCTGATTATACATGTACACAATTGTGATAGAAACAAACAATTCCTTTTAAAATGAAAAAGAGCCCCAGATTTGTTTTATTTAGGCTTTAGCCTTGCAGAAAGGGCTGGGTGTAAGGGAACAGAACGCGATTCAGGGACTGAAAGACAGACTAAGACACGATATTCATAGGCGGTCCTAAAAGATTTTTAAATGACCATTCAAACTCGTGAAAATAAAGTGTGCACCCCCACCCCCTTCTAAAGAGTGTGCGCGCACGCACGCGCGCACACACCTTCTCAAAAAGCTGTATCCGCCTCTGATATTGTAGTAAGCAATAAGCCAGGAATAACCAAGTCTGACCACACAACGTCTTGAATGGGAGCCACTGACGCTGAAATGTCGTCGTCGGCACGGGTACTACAGATATGTACACCAGGTACTTTTCTATAAGTTTTCTATATACGAAAATGTACCCTAAACAAAGTAAAAATACAAACACGTACCCGCCCTACCCAGTACCCAAAACGAGGGTCGAAACATTGAGTTGTTCCCGTTTCTGTGTATGCTCATTTCTTATTTAACGCGATCAAATGCATTTAATGCAAATGTAGGACAGTTCCGATCAAGAAAACGGCATAATATGGAATGGACTAATCCTAAGGTACGTTTCTGTATTCTGTAGTACCCGTGCTGATAACGACCCCTTCAGCGCTACTGACTCTATCATACAAATACCAGTGTATGTTAAAAACGACCGCGTGGAACGAATGATGTAATTGCTACATTTCTCAATTGTGAATATAATCACGTTTTCTGGGAGAAATTCGCAAGAGGATCCTGTTTGTTGAAAACGGACACAAAAGTATCCCCCAAACACGGATCCTAACCCGCACCAAGGCATAAACAAGCGTCTATGGTAAGAATGGCCCTTGTCACTCAAGGATGGGAAACGTGATACGTCCCATGTTTTCGTGGCGCCGTGGGAAGAGTGTGGTGGACATCCCAAACCTGAATCAGACATTATACAGTACTTTCTGTATCACACTCTATCCAAGGGAGGTAAGCGTTCTGTAGGTTCCACAGGACTAACCGTTTGACGATAGCTTATCTTACCATTCTTGAGGCTTGTTGGAGTATATTTATTTTAGACGCTAACCTAAAGGCATCGCCTGCAGTTGCGATATGAATATGATTACCAGATTGCAAGAATACAATTTATTAAATTAAGACAACATGTCCAGATACGATGAACTCACGACCTTTGCCCTGTGGCACCAATGTGTGTTCACATTTCAACATATTTGACTACCTGTCGCTGTTTTAAGTTTAGGATATTGTCCTTACTGCTAAGTACGTAATCTAAATATACGACACGAGAACATAAACACTCCGTGTTACCAGGACTGGATTCGAACCTGAATCTTCTGCATAATGGGTGAATGTTTTAACCCCATTGCTTTATAAGTACAGTCGAACCCCGTTTATCCGGACATTCTGGTTACACTCGGAAATCGTCCGGATAGCGGGGCGTCCGGATCAAACAAGCAAAACGCATTGACAATGTACATGTATACAAAACACGCAAACGCATAACACCAAACTTACTTACTTAACCTTGAATTGTAAGAATTTTATGATATCGATCAAGTTGATTTAGGATATGATAACCAATAGAATACATATGTACCCTTTTATAACACAGATTCTTTACCAATAAAATACAAGACGTCGAAGGGAGGTAACTGACGTAGTGACCATCAGCCTTATTTTCAGCACTGGTCAGCTTCACGTGCTGGATCCCGAGCGGCTGGCACTGACCACCCACATCCGGTCAATAAGTGGCCATATACCATGCATATGTCATTGTTCAGTTAATGTGGTATTATATACAAGAACTGGACTCTTGACCCGCCAGCCATAATGGCAACTGGCCACGGGTCAGCTGGGTCCCTGATGTCAAACATACATAAACACGTGGCCGTTCTGCATTAACAGTGGTACACAACATAGCCCCGGAGGAGATAACGACCAGATTTACACTATCAACAACAACTATTTACGCAACAACTTCTATATTCAGGATAAAATGTCACTGATGGTCTTGCCAGGAACGGGTTAAAAATGTCAAGGATATACATTAAGAAAATAATTTACATATTAAAATTGTACAATAGAGCCATAACATATGTGAATTTGTGAAACAGATACCAATACATCTATATTTTTATAATTTATACTTATACAAAATATTCCTCAAAATAATTGTGTGGATGTGTTACATATTGCACTGCATATTTTCTTCGTATCCTGTTCAGGGCTCCTGACAGCGGAAGAAGTGCAGCTAGGCCTGTGAACGAGGATTGTGTGTGTCGACAGTTCCGGCTTGCATCACATGGGAGCTGTTATTTACACGACCAGTGCTTCCCGTTTAATTTCCGATGTCAAAACCTGAACGGAATCGCGACATATTTTTGTTTTGCAGTTGAATTCTCTAAAACCTGCACTGATCAGTCAGAATATGAAAGGAACAGATGAACAACGAAAATTATATTTTGTAGAATCATACTTTAAAAATTTGAATTCATTGGCACACTCACGATGATTTTCATTACAATGCCAATTGGGTAATTATGTTTGGTTGTGTGTTTTTAACGCACATCAATATTTCAGCTGTAGGCTATGGCGGCGGTTTGTAAATAGTCATAATTTGGAAATGATGATGACAATCTTACATAAAATTAGATCAAAGACCATATTATAAATTTATTATATGGTCTCTGATTGGATACAACAGGCCCACTGACAGTTTCTCTTACAGATGCAAGAGCACTTGTTTAAATCATCCCTATTTCATCCTTATCATGTCCTCGGCTCCAGCATCCCTTCCTCGTCCCCTTGTTTAGCTCTAAGCACTGAACTTACGCTGTTTGATGGGCTGCTTATACTTGAGGGTTGTTTTTGACACTAAGACGTTGTAAACAGCTTTGTTTCCTGACAAGATGTTGACCTAGTCCATCAACACAAAGCTTTAGGGTAATGTTGGGATGGCATACAATCTTGTTTGACTTCTCATTTGAACATTTTTCTCTTTCAGATCAAGAGAAAACCAGTTGTAAACATGTTGTCTCACTACTACACACACTAATGATGGTTGTCAAGATTTTGAAACCTGTGAACCACTTGACCTATTTGCGCCAAAACATCTCTTTGTGTTAATGGATTCGTTTGAACCACACAACCACGTGTTGCACCAAAAGTAAATCATAAATGTGTCATCACCCATCTTATATATGTTCTATCAATTGTTAAATGCAACAATACAAAAATTTAACTTACAGTTCTGGCGGATACAATTCCTGTGCTTCTCACAACATGTCGCAAGCACCACTGACTTCGGCTCCAAGCTTCACTTCTCACGTTACTGCGACTTGCGGGGACTGTCAAAGAAGGGGCACTCTTTGGGTGAAGGGAATTATCAAAGACTTCGCGCAATCACTGAGAGCGTCGATCAAAGCAAAATAGGAATAGGAAACAGAAAGATATTCTTGTTTAGGATTTTTAAAATATTACCTGGTGTAATATAACCTTATTTCTTTAACAAACATGGAATTAAAACATGAATCATGCCTTTTCAATTCTATTCCCGTTGAGTCTGTTAACTTGAACAAGACTTGTAAAACCTTAAAATGAATTTCAGTAGAGAGAACGACGTTACAAATGCAAAATATTTTATGAATACTTTGACATTAATCTAATTTCATATTTAGACCCCATCAACAAATCACTTAGGTCAAACGTGTGTTCTCATTTTGTTATATATTCACAATTCCACGCCACCGTTCCACCTTAGTTTCAGGAAAATAGATCCCAATCCCGAATAGTACTGGAATAGAAATGCTTAACAGAACGTATTAATTCATGAATAATTCCATCAGCATACAAATAATAGTTCCATTCTTCGCCTTAATAGCATCAAATCGCTTTAAGTGTGGTAATTGGTATATAATTCCTCCCACATATTACTATATACTAACAATATTACTTACTGTTTTAAAATGGAAACATAAAACGACGTCTTCCAGAGAAAACAGGACAATTCCATCGCTGTTAATGGTATTATTTGGTCCTCAGTCGAATGAAACACTTTATTACGTTCTGTCAGCCAGCAAGGTCGTAAACGGTAATCTAATTCGCCTATATCTCCAGACGTACTTATGTAATTTGGTCCCTAATGCCAGCGACTGGCTGTAAGGGGGATAATGGAAGATAATATGATAATATGCATGCGGTATTACCGGCGACTCAGGCCGCCAGGAATGCTCATGTAATCTGGCCGCCACAACGTTGTAATGACTTCATTCAGTCACCGGGCAGCGTTATGCTTATTTAGACATATTTATGGAGTAGAAATGATTGACAATGACAATTTGTAAAATTCATCTTTTCTCTTCGACAATAACTGTGAGTCAGGCTGGTCAAATGTCATGCTTCATCAGACGTTACCTAACAGATGTCAGACGATATCCGGTTCGTGTCTTTATGACTAACTGGACAGCTCTCTTTCAATCAGTTTGTGAAATCACGCCCCTCTGCATAAACCTTATCCATATGTGAGTAAATGGCGGTACAACGAACGAAGTGATATACTTTACACCTACAGAACAGTATACATTTACGTGTGCCACAAGTACAACACATTATGCATTCACATAAATTCCACAACTACAAACTGACTGTACATTCACGTGTATTCCACAAGAAAACAGCATGCATTCACGTAAATTCTACAGCAACCAAACAGCATGCATTCTGCAACTACAAAACAGCATGCATTGACGTGAATTCCACAACTACAAAACAACATGCAATCACGTGTATTCCATAACTACAAAACATCATACATTCATGTGAATTGCTCAGCTACAAAACAGCAGGTATTCACGTGAATTCCACAACTACAAAACAGCCTGCATACAAGTGAATTCCACAAGTACAAAACAGCATGCATTCACGTATATTCCACAACTACAAAACAGCAGGTATTCACGTGAATTCAAACAACAAAACAGCATGCATACAAGTGATTTCCACAACTACAAAACAGCATGCATACAAGTGAATTCCACAACTACAAAACAGTATTCATTCACGTGAATTCCGCTGCTACACGGTACGCATTCATGTGAATTCCACAACAAAACAACATGGCTTGACGAGAATTCCACAACAACATGCATTCACATGAATTCTTTAGCCATAAAAAAGTATGCATTCGCGTGGTTTACACATACATGAATTCTACAACTACAACACACCAAACATTCACGTCTACTCCACACCTTCATCATATAACCTGCATGAACCGCTATGATATTGACATATTTTACACCCGCTTCAGTAGATATTATGCTCTATACCTTTTCACTCTGAGTGAAGGTGAAACGAATTCAAGGTTTCCAGAACAATATGTACTGAAGATGGTATAAAACACATCAATATCACAACGGTTTATGCAATTTTAAATGACGGACCACGTATCTAACTTAGATATTACTTGAGGATGGCCTGACCAGGGGAGATAATCCGTTAACCTGGAAAGCGATACGAAAGAAATTCCTCTCTTGGTATCCTGTTTGATCATGAATACAGACTTCTGATTAAAGTGCGTGATGCCATTGTGACAACCTGACTATCTCGGACATTGTATGTTAGGTTCCTATGGTTTCAGATGTGTATGGTACAGTCAGGATTTCCCATTTTACTTCCCTATTTAAGAATAGACTTCTTGACTGTGATAAACAACGGATTCTTGGTATAAAGTAGTGAGTGAGTGAGTTTGGTTTTACGCCGCTTTTAGCAATAATCCAGTAATATCAAGGCGGGGACACCAGAAATGGGCTTCACACATTGTACCCATGCGGGGAATCGAACCCGGGTCTTCGGCGTAACGAGCGAACGCTTTAACCACTGGGCTACCCCACAGGTATAAAATAAGTGAATCTCTCCATCTAAGGTATTTTAAAGAAGAGAAATCATTGTTAAATGTTAAAAAATTAGGTTACATCCATTAATCACTTAGCAGTTAGAAGAAATATATTTTTATTGATATTACATGCACTTCCACTGAGATGTAATATTAGAGGTATTAATTTTGATAGATATGTAAAACATGTGACTGCGGCTCGAATGAAGATGAAATTCACTTCATGTTAGAATGTACAGCATATAATTTATTACAGATAAGTATTTTCCATATTGTGGACAGGATAGCATACTGACCAATATCTTCATTTCATTAGCAGCAATTGTACCCATGCACTTTTTAACGGTTTGAAATATGTAGTATTCCCAGAAAGTAATGAGAAAGCTGTTTCGGCAAATATCTAATTCATGTATGTAAACTATAGACGTTTTTTTTAAATGAATATGTTGAGATATTATTCTCTTACAGTCTTAGTGTCTTTTCAGTACTTTGTGAGACCTCCTTGTCCTGCAATACACGACTGTATCCGCCTTAGCGCACTATCGATCAAAGTTTGCAGGAAATCGTCTGACAGTGTATCCCAATATTCGACCACTTCTTTCTTCATATCCTCAATATTTCTGAGTCCTTTTTCGTTTATTCTGTCCTTCGTTAGCCACCACACATTCTCAGTAGGATTAAGATCTGGGCTGTAGCTGGGCCAGTTAAAACATGAACAATTTCGTCCGACAACCTCTGTTTTGTGTAGCCGGCAGTGTGTTTTGGGTCGTTAGCATGCTGGAAAATCCAGTTATCTTCATTCACTGTTCGGGCCGTTAGAAGGAAGTGATCATTTAAGATGTCAACATATCGTTCCTGCGTCAAATTTCAAGTGAAAATACACAACGGCGTCACTCCACGCGATGATATCCCACCCCACGTGTGAAATTTCGGGCTATGTTTTTGTCCAAATTTTCACACAGTTTGGAAAAAGCCAGACAGAACTTTCACAGGAAAAGAAAACATTACCCCAATCTTAATTTTCGTGAGCCCTACATCAGTTTTTAAAACGTCTTTCTTTTTGTGCATTGTTCATCAATGGTGAGGGAATTCAGCGCTTTTTCAACCAGTTCTCTTTGTAATTCCTGTCTAAGGGTTTCATTACATATCTTATGACTTCCTCTACTAATCATCTAATTTCTGATATTTTCAACGCTTTTCAATTTTCCCCTTCTCACAATCTGACCAAGTCGCCGGCGATTCGTAGTACTGAAACTCCTTGGCCTCCCTGCCCCTGAATTTATGCTCAATCCCAACTCCTGGCTGAATATTCTTCAAAGTTTTTATTATTATTATGTTTTACAGATTAAAGATGAAAAATGCAGCAGAGATTCGGGTGATCCTGGCACAGTCAGGCTGGTAAGGCTCATCATCAGCTCAGGGCCCTCGCCCATTCTACACGCAGCCCAGACAGGGAATGGGACTTCTCCCAGGAAACACTGCCTAGTCGAACCCACCAAGAACTTTCCGGAGAATATGAAAGCTCCCCAACACTGCAGCCTTCTGCATTACCCAGCGTGTCAGAAGGGCTGTGCTCCCGGTGGAGAACCCGGGCACTCTCCTGATCTGCGCCAAGAGATCAGGAGGTACCAAACCAAGGGCTCCGAGAACAATGGGGAGCCTGACGACAGTGTACTTGGGATGCAAGCGAGACATTTCAAAGGCGAGGTCCGCATATTTATCATGCTTTTCCTGAATCTTGCCAATCACGTTGCTGTCAAAAGGGACCGGAAATTCAATGATATAAATAAATTCATTGGCTTTATCAAAAAGGACAAGATCGGGTTTGTTGGCAGGAATTCTTCTGAGGGCTGTATATGGGCCTATTCCACAGACGTTTAAAAGCATCATTTTCCATGACGCCCTGGACATGTTCAGGGTCATACCATGGATGGACCTCGGAGTCAAAGCCACAGACATGGCGGAGACGGTAGTAAAAGCAACGAGCCATGCCATCATGTCGTTTAAGATATGCTGTTTGTGCCAAAGAAGGGCATCCACTGACAAGGTGTTGGACAGTCTCTGTAAATTCATTACATAGTCGACATTTCAAATTGATATTTTCCTTAAGAATCACATTTTGGCGATTACGAGAGGGAAGTGACTGGTCCTGAGCAGCAAAAAGGAAGCCCTCAGTTTCACATTTAAGACCAGCCAACTTCATCCAGGCGAAGGAGTCGGTTGGATTGCTATTCTGTTCCACACACTGCATGTACACACGATGCAATGGCTTCTCAGAAAGCTTCTCCACAAAAGACCGACTCTGGGCAGACTTGGTGAAGTGCTTCACCTGGTTTACTCCCATCACTGTACCGTCCAGCAGTACATCGTCATCAACAAAATCAACCTCAAATCTCAGATTCTGTCCAACAACCTTGGCACGCTTAAAAAAGCTGTGGAATTCCTTGCTTTCATCATGAGTCTTCACATGCATCACCAGAGGATCATCCGATAAATAAATATGTGCAAAAGTACACAATAAAACTCTATCATTAAGAGCCTCCACATTAATCAAACCCCGACCTCCAGAATTGATTGGCATATATAAACGGTTAAGAGAGGAACAAGGGTGGTGGGCTCTGTTGTCAGACATGATCCTTCTGGTCAGGCGGTCAAGACTCTGGATGTCTTGGTTTGTCCAATAAACTACTCCAAAGGAATAGGAAAGGACTGGCACAGCAAAAGTATTGGTGGCTTTGACCTTGTTTCGAGCATTTAGCTCTGAGCTCCAGATTTTCTTTAAGCGAGATTTTCATACTCAGCCCGAAGTTTTTTCATGAATTTGGGCATTCTGGAGCTTGTCTCGAACTTGGTATTGGTATCTCCTTCGGCAAGGAGTTCGATGTCATCCATGTAAAGGAGATGGGTAACCGGTGTTGGGGGTCTGTCCTGGGGAGGTCCGGGATGGTAACCCTCCTCTCTGTTGAGCAGAAAGCTCAAAGGATTTAGAGACAAACAAAAGAGCAAAGGAACGAAGGAGTCCCCCTGGAAAATTCCCCTTCTGATTGGAATCGATTCCAAAGTCTGCACCTGCCCTTGCGAGTACATCTCAATTTGAGTCGACCAGCAACTCATCAAAGACTTGAGTAAATCAAATAGTCGCTCCGGGAGGTCAATACAATGAAGAGACTTCAGAATCCATTCATGAGGGACAGAGTCGTATGCCTTTTTTAAGTCAATCCAGCACACAGAGAGGTTGCGGTGATGTTTTAGCCTCTTCCAAAATCATTTTCTGTACAAGAAGTTGATCCTTGATCCTTCTTATTATAGGATATTTATATAGCGCACATATCCACGCAACTAGTGCATGCTCAAGGCGCTGGTAATTTTTCCTCGATCACTGGATGTCAATCTCAACAGCACATCGTATTATCAATCTCAAATCCCTAGGGAGTATACAACTCTTGCTGCCACTAGGCGCACTGCTAGAGTTATTGTGGCTTTCTCATCCTAGCGAGGTACCCATTCACAGCTGGGTGGAATGGGGCACATAGTCACAGTACTTTGTCCAAGTTCACTGCACGTTGCTGTACCCGCAACTAGGTGTTTGCATGTATTTATGTGGTCACCATCTGGTCATATACCAATGGATTCGTGGGTTCTTTTAAGTCCACAGGGTTATGACAACACGGAAAGAGTTGGCACACAATGTTGACTCCAAGGTTTTCACAACCAGTCACAGGTAGGCTTGATCCCGGCACCTCAACGTTGCTGGATCACTAGCCTGGCGCCTTAGCCAGCTCGCCCACCTCGGCCCCGGCGAGCGCCCCCCAGTTCTGTATACTGTAGACAGAGGAATGTCATGTCCCCTGTTCCTACGCCCCTGATCCAGGTGTTAAACATTTCCAACAGAATACTTGGTGTGGCCAGAGAGCTGAAAGTCGGTGATAGTTGCGGGCCACTTCATTGATTAGGCCATAAAGACATGGTACTGGCCGTTTCCCTTTGTTGCATCGGCATCATGGGAATTAAACAAGACTGGGAGTCTGTGTCTAAACATGAATGTGAAACTGGGACATATCTCCTGAGAGTCTGCGTATGCTTTTCGTATCTGGAGAAAGGTCAAAAACCCATGGTATGTGCCAATCCCTTAAGAATATAGGTTCCAAGATAAGGTGGCTGTCTGGCCAAGCTGGCTGACTTGCTTGACTACACTTCATCCCATCCCATGTGCATGGACTGATGCTCATGAAGTCAATCACTGGATCATATGGTCCCAACTTGGTCCAGACTGTCCTGAACGAGTGAGTGAGTTTAGTTTTACGCTGCACTCATCAATATTCCAGCTATATGGCGGAAGTCTGTAAACAATAGAGTCTGGACCAGACAATCCAGTGATCAACAGCATGAGCATCGATCTAAGCAGTCGGGAACCGATGACATGTGTCAACCATGTCAGCGAGCCTGACCACCAGATCCCGTTAGTCGCCTCTTACGACAAGCATGAGTTACTGAAGATCAATATTCTTATGGGGACCTTCACGGTCCTGAAGAAAGGTCACTTCAACCTTTGCCCCTGTTCTGAACTGCAAAATGTTATGATTCCTACAGGGCTCATGTTCAGAATATAGGTCTGAAGCAACCTGTGCTCATTCCAACAAATAACATTCTGCAATAACTTACAAAGATGTATTCATGGTACCTGTTCAAATAATTTATTCCCTTTGTGTTACAAAGATCAATTACTTAAATTCACACTCCGTTCTATGTCTCACGCACACATATATACAGACAGCTTCTGTATCCCACCTCTCTATCACTTCCATAGCACCTTCAGTTCAACCTGATACTGTAAAATAACTTTCAAATAAATCTCTACAAGTAACATTATTCGGCTGAAGATCATACTAAAACTTAAAATCATGGAAAACCCTAACCACTTTTAATAAAACAATGCAAGTCGTAACAAACATGTTACCAAGAAACTAAACAAAAATGTACCACTGTCTCTGTGGCTCTCAGGATGTCCATTTTGGAAATAGTGTGAGAATTTGTTGGAGGATAAGGTTGCTGCCTCCTAGGACAAAGTCATCTGTACAATGCTGCTAAATCATGTGCCCCTTACCAGAAACACAAGGGTCATATTATCTTCTGACATGAAGTTTAATACCAGCATCACCACCATGACAGGAGACCCAAAGCACAAGCTTGAACTACTTGTAAATCATGAACACGTTTCCTCTGGTTTGTGTGGCCATGCATGCAAGCGTAAGTGCATCTGTTGGGAAAGGCCACACACATAACTTTCTCATCAGAGCCAGTGGTCTCTACATGTGAGTCTGAACCAAACAATCCACTGATTGATATTGTGATTAATGATCGCATTGGGAAAGAATCAAACACAATCACAGACCAGTACAGACTGCAGTTACCGATTCCAAACTTCCTGATATTCAACAGGTACGGTTTTGTCTAACAAATAAACACATTACGACTTCATTTTCATTTTGACAATACAATGAACCACAGAAAATCAGTCTAAGTAAACTTAGGCTCAGTATTATTTGTTACACTGATATACTGTATAGCAGTGTAACGAATAATACTGAGCCTAAGTATACTTAGACTGCACAGAAAATATTCTAGTGGAAGAAATTCAACAATACCAATTCCGAAAAGAATACCTTGACTATGTTGACCATTCTGATCACATCACATGAACACAGCCATATAGCTTATGGCATAGCGGCAAGTGCTCATCACATAATAAATATTTACTAATATACATAAATGACATTGAGTTTATTAACAACACATAAATATCTATGTTCCAATTCACTCTGAACCTCCATGGAAAGAGTTTTTGGAATCAGAAGTAATAGTGTGATATAGACTTAGCTGAAATCATAGTCTTGTCAGGGATGGAACAGCAAGCTTAACAGGCTGACATTTTCCTGTTAGTTCATTACCTATTTTGAGAATCTGGATAGACATAAAAAGATACTTTTAATACATGCGTGCATGTATCTGTGACAGCTTGTATTATTATTATTATTATTATTGGATATTTATATAGTGCACATATCCACACACTAGTGCATGCTCAAGGTGCTGGTAGTTTTTCCCTCGATCACTGGATGTCAATCTCAACAGCACATCTTATTATCAATCTCAACTCCCTGGGGATCATACAACTCTTGCAGCCACTAGGCGCACCGAGTTATTGCGGCTTTCCCATCCGTACAAGGTACCCATTCACAGCTGGGTGGACTGGGACACATAGTCACAGAGTATTTTCGTACTAGTACTGAGTGACATTAGACTAACTGACCACCAGCATCTATCTGGGAAGCTCTATCCATTAGACTTGGTTTTAAAGTCACTTTTAAAGAGGCTACCCACCGCCCACTTTTTTAAGAGCACAGCTTAAAGTGATTGAATGAGTTGTTTATGCCGCTTTTAACAATATTCCAGCAATATCACAGCAGGGGACACCAGAAATGGGCTTCACACATTGTACCCATGTAGGGAATCGAACCCAGGACTTCAGCATGTTTGTGTTTGTCAACAATACTGCAACTAAATGACTGTGGCCTGTAGCTAACTAAGTCTGGGCCAGACAAGTCAGTGACTCACACCATGACTGACTGACTGACTGAGTTTGGTTTACGCCGCTTTTAGCAATATTCCAGCAACATCATGGCGGGGACACCAGAAATGGCCTTCAGACATTGTACCCATGTGGGGATTCGAACCCGGGTCTTCGGCGTGACGAGCCAACGCTTTAACCATTAGGCTACCCCACCGCCCCTCACACCATGAGCCCCGACCTATGCAACTGAAGTATGATGACATGCATCAACCAAGTCAGTTTTAATTTGACTTATCAATTTATACATCATCAACTGTATCAGAGAGACCTACATGAAATCCTGTTTAATGGATTAGAAATCCTTTTCTTAGGTCAATGACAAAGAAACACAAAAGAGATTTTCCCACTTCAAAGAGTCTTATTTGACAGTTATCACAGCAGATTCCTGACATGCAGGTTACCATGTTTACTGGGTGAGTCATTTCCCTCATTTTCAGTGTTGTAAGGAATGGTACACGTGCTGTTACTGAAGGGTTACATCATCCAACAATGTAGGCACCGTCTGTTGTCAGCGAGATGATGAGTCTTTCATATGGCTCCACCGATGATCATGCTAGAGAAGCACATCCCAGAGTACTTGTCAGTTTCATGTTCTTGCATGATGTTAGCATCAGATGGTTACCATGGTTACAGGTACATGTCAGGAGTGGGTGTTCCTGTGACGTCACACATGTTAACATAAACGATGACAGAGTAGCAATAGAGACTGACGCTTTTGTGTCTCATCTCGGAGATGACGTCCTGTAGGTCCATGAGGCAATCCGTCATCACATGGTGGCCCTTCCGTCTGGGACAGTAGATTCCCTCTGAAACACAAGGTAACAGGTTTCACATATGTGAGTTTGGTGCACGGCAGCTTTTAAAAGTATTCCATTTAAATCATCTTGTGTTAGCATGTGAGGGTAAAACCCTAAGTGATTCAGGTTTTATCTGTCTACCACTTTGGTGACACCTACAAGCATGGGTATAGTGCTGGCTGACAGAAACACGATTGGGATAGGTTTCTAGTGTGACAAAGGGAAGCAACTCTGCAAAGGTGAACTGCCTTAGATGATGGGCTCACCTGTGCCTCCTCTGCATAAAAGAGTGAGTGAGTGAGTTTAGTTTATGCCACTTTCAGCAATATATTGTGGTTAAAGCGTTCGCTTGTCACGCAGAAGACCTGGGTTCAAGTCCCCACGTGGGTACAATGTGTGAAGCCCATTTCTGGTGTCCCCTTCCGTGATATTGCTGAAATATTGCTAAAAGCGGTGTAAGAATGAACTCACTCGCTCACTCTAATGTTGAAAGCATCACTTCAATACACCAACCTTTATAATCATCAGGATGAAGGTCGGGGCTGTCGATGTCCGGACACTGACTCAGGTGATCAAGCCAGGGGATGTCTGTCGACAGCGTCCACTTGCTGCCATTGTCGTTGTAGCCTGAAACAGGTGTGCGTGTGTGTTTTAGTGTTTGTCTGCAGATACAACAATAATAATAACAATAATAATGTAGGGGTGACTATTGAGGGGGTAACAACTATTGCAATAGTTTCTTCCTCCTTGAAATGTCTCATTTGAAGTCATTTTCCAAATGAATGTATAGTTTATATGAAATAAAAACAAGCTGAGGTACTTTCAGTAACTTTAAATAACTGACAAGAACCTTGAAACCCAGATCAAGTTTGTTTTAGTTTATGAGGTAACAGGACCAGATAACTCTAAATCAAAGTGAACGAATCTGGTACTTCCTGTATTTTGTGCTGCGTATTTAACAATGAAAGTCAATTACTAAAGTATCGATAGTCACACATACTATCGATCCGTGGATAGTTTTTCGTTTCTACCATGGATTAATTGCTATTGGAGATTCAACAACTGCAATCCATCGGAAGTTTGATGCATCGTTACAACCCTATAATAATGTGTATACTTACATTGCATTCCATACACATGATGTATGCTCAAAGTGCTAACATTATTACCCTTGTCAATAGGTCAGTACATATTACATGCCAAGCTGCCTGTGAGGCGCCAGAAGGCTAACAGTCATAGCATCATCTCATACATCCTGGTACATCCTGGATTATGAACAAGGGTCTCACCATGCAAGATGTAGGCATTTCTGTAGCATTTTTTCTCTTCATCGTCATCATCCACTGGGAAGTTCTTGGCTTGTTCAAAATCCATAAACCGCAACAGCTCCCTGACCAAACAATTGAACAGATTCTGTCTCAGAAATTTAAACTTCTAAAACTTGCTATAAATGCTGTTATAAGCAAACAAGATCAAGCTATTTTATACATTGTTTCAAAGAAAGAATATCCTGACATTTGCAAAAGTTAAAAAACATGAAACTGTCAAAAAAGGGGGGAAATTACACTTGGCTTCTTTCCTCAGGCAGCTTCATTAATGTTTCAGTCATCATACGTCACACGAGTTGGTAGAACTTTGAAACATTTTAGGGATGTTTAACTATGGGTTATCACTATTCAGGCTGGTAGACTTTCTGTGTTAGTTTCTATCCCTAAACCTCCCAAAAAGGCTCTTCAGATACCTTTAACATTAGACATGTTGACTTGGGTTAGTGCAAAGTTGGATGCTTTGACACAAAATGTTAAAAATCAATGAATGTAAGTTGTCTGAATCATAATACAAAATCCATCATTTTCAATTGTCCACCCTGGAGCTGTAACTGCTGCAGGGAGGGATCCAGGTATTTGGAGAAGCGCCTCACAGACACCCCCTTCTAGATCTGCCCCTGTGCTGGTATCTGCCCTGTCCAGCATTACTCACTGAAAGCATCTGCTGATCCTGTATAGTGTATGTTACCATGGTTACCTACTCATTAAGTGATGATCTGGGGATGTCAACTCACATGTTGGTGCCACTAAACAGGTCAAGCCATGTGGCCACGCGGGCGTGGTTGTACATGGTGTGGGTGGGATCGGGGCTGTAGTCGTAGATGACACACAGGTGGTAGTCGATGTCAGGTTGGCAGAATAGCATGTTCTCAAAGGCAAACATGTCAAACTGCAATGACAGATACTATGGCATTTAATCATTTGAGCACAGCTTATGAAATGGATCAGTAAGCATTTGTAAAAGACAAATGTACACTGTTACAATGGTTACACTTACAAGTCACTAAATGAACCTATTTTGAAATAAGAATAATTGTTTGTCATCAATGAGGATGTCATTTTGGGAGGAGATGATCTCGGATTCTATACTTTGATCTATAAAGAATTTTTCATACTTCTACCACAATCCCCAAGCAGCGAAATTACACTTATCATATCACTGCAGTGTCAACGAGAATGAAAGGTTCACATAGTCTAACCAATTACGCAGCTAAACCCCGCTCCTTCCATCGATGAAAACTTATCAAAACCTCACCTCACTTAATTCATATGTCCCTATGGTTACCACTACTAACTTTGAACCTGTGGATCCCTGTTCAATGGTATTGGTATGCCCATGTTTATCAGTAGGTAATGGTAACCTGTCCCATGTTAGTATGTTAGAAGTAGGAAATGGACCAACTCTGTTTCAGTATCACATCCCTACCTGTCGGTAGTATGTTACCAACTTGAAATGGACAAAAGGGAGATAACTCTGTTTATCAGTATCACATCCCTACCTGTCTCATGGGCCGAAGGAAAATCACTCTGTTGGTCATGCTGATCTGATCACAGACTTCATTGACAAGGTGCATCTCATCGATCTTCCGACACTGGGCAAATGACACCTTAGACAACTTGGGAGCCCCACCTACTGTCACTTTCTTCAGCACACGACAAGCACTTCCTGCCAATGATGGAATCAAGTTGATGGAAACTTTCAATGAAGTATTGTGATAATTGAACATTAAATGCATGAGAGGAGCACAAGAACAGCTTATGACCATGATGACATTTGTTACTGCCATTATGCAGATACTTCATATACAGCAAAAACAACACATTAACTAATGGAAAGGAGTGAGTGAGTGAGTTTTAACAGCTTTGGTCAGTATTCCTGTTATACCAGCTTCACATGGAGCTCTTGTCAGTGTTTGTCAGTGCTGAGCTCCAGACTATTTGTTACCGTTGGACTAGTAACAGACTTGGAATGGAACCCTTAAATGGTCACCATAACCACTGGGCTACCCTATCCCAAACGCACACAGGAACACCCACAGGACAGGACAGGAACACAGGGAACACCTTGCACAGGAACACACGCAGGAACACACACAGGAACACACAACACACAGGACACGCGCACAGGAACACACACACACAACACACACACAACACACACACACACACACACACACACACACACACACACACACAAAAGAACGTGCACAGGAACACACGCACACAGGAACACGCAAGGGCAACACAATCTGTAGAATGTATGAAAATGAATAACTCACCTCGGAGTAGCTTGAGGTTTGGACACTCATCAATGATGACGTCAGTCACCCCAACCATGTGAAGCGTGACACACAACAGACTCTTGGATCTCAGAGACAGCACCTGAGTGATTGTGATACATGTTTAAGTACAAAATAAAGGTACACAACATATTGAAATTATACTTCGATCAAAGGTTTTCTTCACGTGTTAAATGTAACTTCATTTCCTTTAGTTTTTAATCAAGGAGTCCCCATTCTCAAAAGAAAAGATATAGTGAAGCCAAAATGTGCAAGATGCATTACATAGCAACAGTAATGAGAAGAGAGAGGAGACACCAGAAAAGGGCTTCACACATTACATCCATGTGGGGAATCAAACCCTGGTCTTCGGTGTGATGAGTGAATGCTTTAACCACTAGGCTACCCCACAGTCCCTCGGATTTGAGGGCTTGGTTAACAGCATGTCACAGCACCCTCACAGTGAAACTTGATGTTCATAACGTAATCACTGGTATGTCTGGTCATCGACTACTTACAGGCAGTCATTACATAGCTGGAATACTACTGAGCGCAACACTACACAGAAAAACAGACACATGCCAAAAGAAGCATAGGTGAAGCTCACCTGAATATGGTCATCCTCTATGACTGGGTCACTCGTGCTTGTAGCCTTATCACACATGTTGGTTTTCTTCCGCAGTCCCAGTTTCAACCTCTGTGCCTCATCCCTGGAACTGGATACACTCTCATGCACAACTGATCTATTTTTGGTTGTCCTTTTCCCACAGCAGTTGCCTCCCTTCGAACTAGGAGCTGAAGCAGCTCCTTGTCGAGCCTCTTCTTGCTCTTTGGCACGCTTGGTTGTTTCACGTATTTCATCACTGACTGCCTGACAGCATTTATCATGCATATTTGGATTTGCCTTCACGACATTGTCAAGCTTCCTTCGTTTTTTTCACAAGACCTTTCTTTTTCCCAGTGAGACTCTTCCCCCGTTTCCTTGGCCTCATGTTGTAACCCTTTGTGTCATCATCTTTGTCTTCTTCACCAGGGTTCTCCTTCCCAAAGTCCATTGCCTCCACTTCCTCTGGAGTAAACAGATACATGTTGTCATCACCTGCTATTTTGGAGGCAGACAGGTCATTGTGATAGTCTTTAGCAATGTCATCTAGAAACTCATCTACTGTACGATTGTCAGGTTCACTTTCGACGGAAGCTTTGTCCCAAGAGTTTTTCGATGTACTGGGTTCAGGGGAACTGGTTTGTGAGCTTGTCTTCTTGTTATCAACTGGCTGTTTCTTCTTTCGAACTATTTCAGTATTGTCCACAGTTTCATTCACTGAACTCTCATCACTGGAACTCTCTGTTGTATCGCCTGTTGGTTCACGCTGACTGGAAGAACTGGATTTACCAAGCTTACTGTGTGTCGAATGTGACATCTTCCCTTTTGTCTCTGAACACTTCTTCCTATTTGTAGCAGAGTCAGATACAGAACAAGAGGCAGTCCTTCGATTCACTGATTTTGGTAAGTTTGAAACAGGTTTCTTTCTAATGAGATCAACATGTGAATTGGCTGACGATGATTTCACTACACCAGATGAAGAAGCTACAGGTTGAGATGATTCAAGATGGCTACAAGTCCTCCCATGCTGTCTGCCTGCAGTACTGGAGGTTGGAGCACTAGGTGGAGCAATAGGCGAATCTATATGGCGGTCCTTTGAACAGTGCTGTTCAGTAGTCTTATGACAATCTTGCTCTGATGGTCTCGCCCACTTTGAGCAACAAGAAGCATGATCTGCATATTCACATTTGCCCCTGCAGTCTGAATGTGACTTGTCACTTCTTTTATCAATATGTTCATCCTTGTTCTTAGAACAAGTTTTCTTCTTCTTTTTAGCTGGGCTACAAATGTGTTCTTCTGTTTCTTTTACTTCAGTTGCATTTTTGTCAGCAGCATGAACACTCCCTGCAGATTTGCAGGGAACACTACTACACGGCTTTTCATTTTTTACACTTGGATTCTGATTTTTCTTTTTGTCCTTGAAAACTTGAACACTTGCAGATGTGGCACTAGCAGTTTCCTTGGTTCCTTGAACATGAGCAGACGTGGCACTGGAGGTTGCCTGGATCCTTTGAACACAGCTAGTTGTGGCACTGGTTGTTGCCTTGACTTCTTGTACACTAGCAGACATGCAACTGGTGGTCTCCTTGACTTCCTCACCCGTGGCAGATGTGTGTTTTGAATTTGCCTTGATTCCTTGAACACAATCAGACGTGCCACTGGAAGATGCTTTAGTTCCCTGTGAAGCAGCACACATTGTACCTGACGCTCGTGACGTACTGGGACATGCCTCACCTAGGTCTCTCTGGGCTCCAGACAAAGAAGATGAGGACACAAACTTTGGTTCAGTAACCAGAGCGTCATCCTTGGATCGAAGTTCAATGGTGCTGTTACATTCAACCTTCACCTTGATCTTGCCGTCTGCTGGACATTCTATATCTGTATCACTGCCATTACCGATGTCAATATCAACAAGCTGACAAGTTGACCTTGAATCAACAGAAGGGACAATATTTACTTCTCTTTTCATACAGCTTCCTGAAGGCATTCCGCCACAATAGACTCGACTTGTGCTTGGCTGTGGGTTGTTCACATCTTCTTTGCTTGATCCTGGCTTGCTGTCATCCTTTTCAGGTGGCTTGATTTTGGACTGACTGGCTTTCTTGCTGGTCTCCGGGTGCTCTTCTTCCTCATGGGATCTGTTACCCGATCCCTCATTGGCTACCACTGACAATATTCGAATGTCATCCCCAATGTGATTGGCCATGTCAATGTTTTCTTCATCACCACTCAATCCGTCAAAATCTAGATCATCTCCATTATCAGAAAAATCATCAAATTCATCATCCTCATCCAATGGATCATCATCTAGATCAATGTGGGGTTCAATGTTATCTGGATTTTGATTGGGCGGTTCATTGTTGTTAATGTCCCCTCCATTAGCAGCCATGGCCCCGGCATCTGCATTGTTATTGTTACCATCCTGGTTAAGGTCCCCATCATCATTGTTGTGATTCCCACCATCGAGGTTACCAGCGTCATTGCCGTTGTTCTGGACAAGAGCTGAGGATACACCCAACCCAGTACCAGCACTCAGGCCCACTCTGAAATAACAAGTTAATATTGACAAACGTTATCAAATAATACTGAATACAGTCAAAATGATGAATACTGGTACATGTGATAACTGTACTTTGTCCTTTGTTTCAATACCGGAATATGCACATGTATGATTGCTTTGATTTGCAACTGATTCTGGGTCAGATTTCAGTTGCGAATACAAATTTTGTTTTTGTATCAGTAATATCTGGATAAAATAGGAGTAACTTTCAGAAATTGTACTTACTTTTCAGTAATGACCCAAGCTAAACTTACGTCAGTAAAAATTTTGTGGGTGGTCTGTAAATAATTGAGGGACCAGTCAGTACAGTGACTGACATCATAATCAATATCCATGAGGTGAGGTGAGGTGAGGTGAGGTGAAATTGGGTTTAACGTCGTACTTGAGAATATTTCACTCATATGACGACATGCATGCGTGTGTATGTGTAAGTGCGGCTGCTTGTACTAGCCAAGACTGAAGCTGGTTTTATAGTGCTAGCTCACTGAGATACCATGCCGCAGTGAAGCATGAACACTCAGACACAGTATACTGACTCCGAGCCGACCAGTCCTTGTTGTACCCATTAATGCCGAGCGCCAGGCAGGGACCCATATTTTAACGTCTTTTGGTATGACGCGGTCGGGGATCGAACCCGCGACCTTCCGCTCTCCGGGCGGACGCTCTAACCACTACACCACGGAGGCGGTCTCATTATCCATGAAGTTGGGATATGACTACCTATACCAACAGTGAAGCCTGACCAATCGATCCTGCTAGTCACCTATCATGACAAGCATTGGTTGTGGAAGATCAATTCCAACCCAGATTCTCCATGGGTAACATGACAGGTATCTGACTGGATTTGAAAATATAAGCTGTGATCATGTGGTATTCAATGAGGTACAAATGATATTTGACAACAGGAATGATCACCCACCTCGCACATCCTTTAGGTGGCTCCCTGAACATGAACTCTAAGTGCAGTAGCTCAAGCTGAGGCAGGTGTTCAATGAAGTGGCAGAAGTCTTGGAGTCGGAGAGCGTGACAGCGGCGGAGATGAAGGTGTCGTAGGTGACTCAGACTCTCTGCACCTGCAGAACAGTTACCATGGTTACGGATCTCAATACATGTATAAAAATACAGGTAAGTTGTCCTACACAGTGGCTTTTTAACTCTGCAGTCATCAATATTCCAGTGGTTGACAGCAAGAGCAACAAACTGTGCCACACGATTAACATGAATAGATACTTCACACCTTCTAGCGATAAGGCATTCGCAACTCCCATACTTAGATATATGATCATCATAGCATTTTGGTTCATCTTTACAATGGCACCCTGATTCCTATCTTACCTGGCTTTGGCGACACATCTTTTTTTTATTTTGCTGAGGAATGACACATATATGTTTAACCCTAAAACAAACTGAGCACTGTACAACACAATCTTAGGTCTAGGTTCAATATTTTAACACTTATTAAGTCATAACAGCTGCAGCTTTAAGATAAGGTAATGGAAGAACAGGGCCCAATGTTTCCTCTGAATCAACTTACCTGAAGTGAACCACGACATTGGGAAATGGAGGTGCGGGCAGTTGTAGATCTCCAGGTTGCGGAGGAAGGAAAAGCACTGGCCAATGGCCTTCATCCCAATATCAGTGATCATTGCAGGGTTCTCAGAAACCTCAGCCAGGCCGTGGATCATCACCAGGTCATCCTGGTTCCACTTGCCTGCAAAACATGGTAACATCACAGAGACATGATTAAGCACTATCGCCCAGGTTACAGTTCCAGGACAAACCACAGCAAGGTGAGTTTGTTATGTTGTTGTAATGAAACAAGGATGTATTGTTAGTATTTTTTATTTCTGTGAATATTTTTACATACGATGAAGATAACTAGATCTACCATTTCTGATATGCATGCAACAGTATGACGACCATGACATTTAGTAAACATTGATATTTTCACACAAATACATGTACATTAATCCGACATTTTCATTAATCCGACATTTTCTTTATCCAACATATTTCTCTGCAACCACAAGTGTCGGATTAACGAGAGTTGACTGTATGAGATTGAAGAACTGGTCCATGCATTTGATTGCCCAAATGGGGACCGATGGGTATGTTATCAACCAAGTCCATGGATAGACCTGACCTTGCGAGTTTTACGTTAAGCAATATTCCAGCAATCTTCAGCAGGGGACAGGTAACCATGTGGCAGGCATGGGTTGCTGAAGACCAATTCTACCCCGGATCTTCAGAGGCCTCAATTATATGCAGACTAGCATCATAGCTGCAATATTGCAGATAACAGAATTAGATAAAGGCAATTGTCATAAACCGACAACATACATTACCCACTGGGTTTAGTAGACTTGAAAAATATTTCCATTCTTCCCATCTTGATCATCATGTCAACTGAACACATTCTGTAATAGTTACTTACCCGCCTCTGGGAAGGGGTCCACATAACCCAGATGTAGAGTCTCAAAGACTGGGAATGTGACGTCGGCCATCTTGATGGCAGCAAACAAACTGTCCTTCGTGAGAGAAGGCTGGATGCTCAACTCCTCTAGGCTGTAGAAGCAATGTACAGCAATATTACAGTCAGGACAAGGAAAACTTTCGATGAAATTTAACAAAAATTTCATTTTCAAAGGAAAGGTTGTTTCATGTCAGTGAGGGAAATGTTACTCCGCTTTTAGCAATATACCAGCGATTTCAGGGTGGGGGCACCAGAAAAGGGCTTCATACATTGTACATATGTGGAGAATAGAACCTTGGTCTTCTGTGTGACATGCGCACAGTTTCACCTCTAGGCTTCCCCACTGCCCCTTATGTTACAGCTGAGTATCTGGACCAGACAAGCATACACAAAGTTTTGCAAGCGGAGCAATGACACCCACGGTTCAAGCATGAAATCAACATCGTGATGACATACATCCAATCAAGGGCAAAACCTTCTTTGAATTAGTTTAGAAAATTGAAGACAGACAGAAATCCTTACCAATGGGCAGCTGTGATCATGAGGTAGCCGAGGTCAACTTCCTGTGCATGTTTGCAGGCTCCGAACATGACAGTCTGCAGCTGGGAGAAGCCACTGACTCGCCAGCTGTCCTCCACAATGTGCTGTATCAGCCCTCCTGTGTACCGAATGTAACAGTCATGTTAATATGGTCTGTTATGCTCCTAATTCCTTATTATCATACATGCAATGGTTTACTACATTTTCCAGAGTCAGTCGGGATGAAATATCCCCTCAATCTGGTGCAATTCAGAAATGGAGGTTCGCTATGTATGACCCACTTAACAAATCCGCTGACTCACTGCCATTGGGGTATCTTCATTTCTATGAAGAACACATAATTGTGTTTGCTGTCTTTGTCCAAAATCATGCAGGATGTCTTGGAAAAAGAAATGTTGTGTTAAAACAAAACCTGCTTTGCATACTTTGAAAGATGAAACAAATTGTGTATTACTACAGTGATGGAAAACACAAAATAATAATAATAATAATAATAATGCACTTGTATAGCACCTAATTTCCAACCGGTGGCTGCTCAGTGGTGCTTCACAAGGTTAAAAATAAGAATAAAATAAACAGAGTTATTGGTTGAAGAGATGGGTTTTCAAGTCACGGCGGAATGACTGGACAGAGTCCGCAGATTTTATATATGTTGGTAGGCTGTTCCACAAAGTTGGAGCCACAACAGAAAAAGCCTGGCTAGCTAACTTTGTCCTCGTAAAGGGTACACAGAGCTGGAGTTGACCAGGTGAGCGGAGTCTGCGAGCAGGGAGATAGGGAGTGAGGAGGTCCTTAAGATAGGCTGGAGCAGTGTCACAGTAATAAAACAGCCCCCTCCACCAGCTGAAATATTCTGACAGTTCTTACCTAGAAATGGAACTCTGACTAGCTCTAGCCGGGTGAGAGACCTTGCTGCAGCCAGGCCTGTTATCAGGGGCACATACTTCAATGTACTGGAAGGACCTGCACAGTTGGACATGACAAAACTCTGCAGGCTTGGAACTGCGAAGTCACGGAATGGATGTGAATGTGTGATTTTTACCCAACGGAGATAAATATGCTTCACATGACTCATACGAGGTAGTTCTGAAATCACAACTCCAGACAAATGAAGGGACGTAATCCTTGGGTTAGATGTCAGAGTAAGTTTATTAGATGGATTGATTGGAAATGCAGCATTTCTGTTTTTGAATATTCCCAGAATTTCCAAGCGTGGAAGATAATTCAAGATAGCCTCCATGAGGTTGATATCAGACACTTCCACAGCTTTCAATCTTGGCTGATGACAAGGCTGCAATAATTCCTGGAATAGTCAACATGTCAGCACCTCGTTGTCTTCTCTTGAGAATCAGCTGTGAGTGAAAACCATATATTGACACAAGTTCCACACATCTTGATATCAGCTTGGCCAGCATGGAATCATTCAGACTTGCAGGAATCCACCCATATATTTCCCCTTCAGTAAAATCAATTGACTTCCTAACTTTGAGATGCATTGAAACAGCCTTCTGAATCTTCTTACACTGTTGCTCCATTTTTAGCACATCTCGCAAAGGGAGGTAATTCAGTACATGACATATGATCTCCAGTGACAGATGATTAAAGAAATCAGAACTACTGAGAAAAGCTTGGCTCTTCTCTCTTTCCATTTCAGCTGCTATTTCATCTCTTTGTCTCATTTCACTGAAGCAATTTAATAAATCTGACAAAGTCATTTTTTCATGCTTTTCAATAAGGTTACTACTGTTACATGTGTACTCCATAGCCATCTTGAATGATGTCATCTCAACTGATCTCTTCTACATAAACAGATGTTGACTAATTTTCTTTCTTCGCTTCATTATTCTTGAGGCTGACTGAAAATATAATGAAAACTATATTTCACTCATGTATTGTTTGTGTACAAGGTGTACATACTAAGTACAGACACTAATTTGAGACATTAATTGGATGATTGAGCCATACCAACAGGCTCAATAAACAAATAAATCAGGGGAATATTTGAAACATATACAAATGATGCAAAAATATCAAAAGCATTGTTTCCACGTCATCAAAAATGTATATAGTATTTATAAAATACATGTATATCAAAGTCACACTGTTACACATAAAAAATATTTTCTTTGAAGATGTCATTGTGAAATCACTGCAGTCTCAGTGATGAACCATACCTACTTTAATAGTTTAAAGTCTGTTTCCATAACGTTTTGCACAACATATTCCATAATAGATTAATCCGTTATCCAAAGGCTTTGATGCTCGACATATTTATCAGTTGGACTATTCTTAAAAATTGATAATTTCAAACTTGCTATGATTACATACTACACACTCTGAAAAGTAAATCGCTTGCAAAACTTCGAGCAAACGTGTGTAACCTGACAGAAGTGAAGGCCATCAATCTGACCATGAGTTATGGAGAAAGGAGGCAATAGAAACCTTCAAACATCAATGCAATTCATCAATAATGTCAAATAATAAAGAAGAGATACAACAGACTGACAAATTAAATGAAAATTAACAATCAAAACCATGTTTACACTACTCAATATTCTTGATTAGATCAAATTCAAAGTTTCATCTCCGTTACTATCATTGAAAATTGTAATTAGTGGTGATACTGGCAGTGATGGACATTACACTTTGATGCAATTTGAATAGTTCATCTCAAAACGAAATAGTAGAAATCATGTAAAATTTTACAAAATTACAGAAATGTCTACTGGCTGCCAAACAGTTATCGCCTCGTTACAGTTATCACCAATACATAGTCTCACGCGAGCGAAGTTCTATTTAATTACAATTCCAGAATTTTTTCCCACAGTATTTGACAACAATAAAGGAGAGCAAAAGAAAATTCTTTCCGGTAAGTACCATAAGAGAAAAATAAAGATAAAGTTATGAACCCTTTAAATGTTTTTTAACTTATCTTTTTAACAATCTATATAATAGCAAGTTCAAGTTCACAAATGTCCTTAATTGTTTCATTCCCTATCAATCTACTGTAAAAAAAACACTCAGCTAGTCACACAATCAATTATTCGAGGTTACTTTATGATATAATTATATGTTATTTCACGAATGACATGAGAAATTCTGAAATGGCAATAACTGTTACAGTCAGTTGTGAGAAATCACCTATTTACACAAGTACTGACATGATTACTGTCGCGTTATATAAAAACATGATTGGCAGAAGTGAAAGGCTGGACACATCAGTGAGCAGATAATTAAGTGTCATAATTAATTCTGTTTCATTAATTTAACGAACGGTGGAGTAATTTTGTAAATACCGCTAAAATATGTCGTAACTGTTCAGCAGCCAGTACATTGATCAGTTACCAACTGATCAGAGGAAAAACATCATATGAGCTTGCACATCTGTAAACACTCACATTTATAAAAAATACGTGAAATAGAATGACATAGATATCTAAATCAAAATCTATATAATTCACGGAAAATGTTTACTCAGACAAGAAAATGATTCATGAAAACTGATAAACAGTGACAATATACAATCGTATCAATACACTGTGGTGTTTATCTTATGGGGCTGTACCCAAACCAAAATAGATTTGAAACAGGTGCAAAAATTCAGCCAGATCATATTTTCAACGCAATGTATATAATGCATATGAACCCGATGTACTTATGTCACATACATTCTTGGGGTGATCCGAGAAAGGGATAGAGTGCTGGTCTTGGAACGGTTCTCTTTTCGGGGGCATCCTCCCGTAGACCGTATTTTATCATGAGAGGTTTTATTATACCGAGGTCGAGAGCCGGGGAAAAGTAATAGCCCAGACTACAAGCGATTGCAGCGTAGACAAATATTTTCCTATTCCTCTGTGATCGAACTGGGATACGCATCCTGGATTAGTTCAGTGGAAGGTCGTTCTATCAGAAAGAAAATTTCGTCAAGTACGCCGACATATTGTAGTTCAGCATGTGAATACAATACGCAGTTGTCATTGGTCAATATGCACGCACATGCTGTTATACTGGTATTCCGTTGGCGCAACGCATATTTTTAGAGATGGGTCCCAGTCTTTAAAAACATTTTTCAGTTCCGCTCACTTTTACGTTGCTAAACAGAAAACGAAACTAAAAAGATTAAGCGTGAATTATTATTTAATGGACACATATTTGTGGGAGTTTGGTGGTGCATCAGCATTTAAAAAAAAATTGCACGGGAAGAAAGCTGTCATCAAGACAAAAACCCGTTTGTTTTATAAGTGTAGACCATCGGACCCATTTATACTTTTGTACAGTACAACCAGAAATTATTGAGAATTTAAGATTGTATTTTTTTTTTTTTAATTTTCACTCATTACTCACGTATTAAATGTGAATATTAGCAGAACATAACTCTAGATTCAAAGACAGGTGAACAGTTAGTATTTTGTCAAGTCACCATGGGCAGCAATGCAGGCTTCAATGCGGCGGGGCATACTACTGATCAAAGAAGTTAGAAAGTCTTGGTCCATGCCGTCCCAATATCGGACCACCTCTTCTTTCATTTCAGCAATATTTGTCATATTTTTCTTATTGACACTTTCCTTCATAAGTCCCCAAACATTTTCTACTGCATTTAGGTCAGGGCTATAGCTTGGCCAATCTAATAATGTCATATTTTGGGTCCGAAACCAGGCCTGTGAATGCCTTGAACGATGTTTTGGGTCGTTGTCCTGCTGGAAAATCCAAAAATGTCCATAGAACACGTTAGCAGATGGAAGTAAATGTCCCTCGAGAATATCTGTGTACCGCTCACTGTTCATATTCCCTTCAAATACACAGAGGGGCGTTGCCCCTAACACAGATATGCCACCCCACACGTTAAATTTCGGACTGTACTTTGGGCGCTGATACAAAGGTTTTTCGGTTTGTTTGGTCCAGAATTTCAGTGTATTAGGAAACAGCCACACAGAACTTTCATCTGAGAAAATCACATTGTCCCAGTTAAAATTTCTATGTTGTAAGCACCAGTTCAATCTTCGCTCCTTTTGTTCAGGTTTCATGATCGGTGATGGAATTCCTCGACTTTTCTTCCAACCCACTGCATGCAGCTCAGTTCTAATTGTCTCCTTACAGACAGCCACAGTTCCTCTATCAATCATATCCAGCCTTAAGTTTTCTTAACTCCTTCGTTTGTTTTTAGAAACAAGAATACCAAGCCGCCTCCTGTCACCGCCTCCCTGGTGCTCAATGCCATATCCATTTGCAATATTTTTCAAAACACGATAAACAGTGGACAAAGGGGTGCCTGTTATACTTGAAATCACTTTAGCTGATCTGATGTCCTTGTTATACTACTCTAAAATCAACTTCCTCTTCTCTAAATCATCCATACTGAGGATCACTGAAAATGTCGTCTGCTAGCAAGTAAACAAAGGGGGATAACTCTTCACAAACTAATGAAAAAGGATTAACAGAGTTGTCTCTCTTGAATGTTACCAAGCACTTGATAGCTGGTCAAGGTTGTTTATACTAGAAATCCAATTAAACATATTCCTAAAATTCTCAATAATTTTTGGTCATACTATATTTATATATAAACTTTTATGTCCGGACAAAACACACACAACCAAGTGAAATCGGTTGATAAATAAAATAACGAAATGATCAACCGGATCCGCCTATGCAAAGATATGGGGGAAAAAGAAGTTAAAACCGGACACTTGACATCCAAATACCTGGGCATTACAAACACAGCATGATCTTCTGTTTCGTGAGATTGTTGGTAATCGTCCAGTTTCAATACACGACTGTCACTCAGAACTGATGCAGCTCTAAAATGATTGACTGTGCGGTAGCTCTGTACCAAACGTTCCTTTGAAAGAGAATAAGATAAAGATGTACTGTCTTTAAGAGTCGTGACCTTTGTTTACATCGAGTCGCCAGGACCAGTGACTTGTTTGATCATATTTCATATATTCCTATGATGAACATAGAGATTTTTCTGGGCTTGTTCTGGCCCAAGTTTTACCTGATGGTGGGGCCAGAACAAGCCCTGAAACGTTGTACTCAAGAATAAAAAGAAGATGTAACCCAGAACTGCCTGACTGACTGACTGAGTTTGGTTTTACGCCGCTTTTAGCAATATTCCAGCGACATCACGGCGGGGGACACCAGAAATGGGCTTCACACATTGTACCCATGTGGGGTTTCGAACCCGGGTCTTCAGCGTGACGAGCCAACGCTTTAACCACTAGGCTACCCCACCGCCCCTGTAACCCAGAAAAATCTCTATGTTCATCAAATAGCATCTTCTAAAATGCCAATCAAGCATCTATTCCCATGATGGCAATTATTTTATTTTCTAGTAAGACTGCTGTGATATAGCTGGAATACACTCTTTAAATATGTAGGGGATCGTGGAATACTCTCTTCGAAAGAAGAGACGCACAGGCAAACTAAATTAATTACGGTATGTAATTTGATATTAATATTTCATTTAATTTGTTTGAAACAAGGATGGAACTTGGTGATAACCACACGCTCTGAGCATGTAATCGCAATACTGATTGTCCTGTCACTAGATATCCCCGTCCACTAGGGAGGAGTTCCGATCAGTACCTGGTGCCGAATGTTGAGTGAGTGAGTGAGTTTAGTTGTAGCAATATTCCAGTAATATCACGGCGGAGGACACCAGAAATGGGCTGCACACATTGTACCCATGTGGGGAATCGAACCCGGGTCTTCAGCGTGACGAGAGGACGCTTTAACCACTAGGCTACCCCACCGCCCCCCGGAGAATGTTGACGTTGACGCTAATCTGTGACACAGATTATCTATCAGGTTCAGACCCGGAGATCTAGAAGGCCATGTCAAGACATTGATGTGTGAGGTATGACACAGGTCACAGTCAGCTGTGTGTGGTGTAACGGGTAGCTTTGTCATTAACTGCACATGACTGTCACAGCTTGCACGTGCATTCCGCTTTGCAGTCTTGTGAAACTTGTTGTATTTAAATTATTCAAATACTTTAGGTTTATCTCCATTATACTATGAGCCGTTTTTAAAATCGAACTCTCCTGTAAAAGGGATGGTACGTGTCTTTTCATCGTTCACCGTTATCTGGCAAGTGATATCGAGAGTGATGATAATGATGATGATGATGATGATGATTTTGAGATTTAACTTATGCTTTCCGACGTTAAGCCATATCGAGAGTGTGGTCGAGAAGTACATTGTATACAAACGTGAGACAGTGTTTTTACTGTTGAATGAATTGGGGTCTGGTTACAATAGAGTGTAGAAGCTGTTGACAACACAATATATTCACGTTGATCTGAGGTATAGACTTAACTTGTTCTTCCAATGATATAAAGGATTACGACTGATGAGAATCTTCTTTCAGTTGATGGTAAGCTGGAGGTAGTATAACAGCTAGCCTTGATCACGGCTGATTGGTGTTTGGAGTGTAATGGTGTGGATTTCTTCTTGGAGTTTTCTGATTTTTAAGTCTTTGGGGTTAGTTGTGAAGGATTTTATTTATTTCACAAACACAGTGGCCGAGGGGTTGCCATTATAAGTATGTCCACCATTACACTGAATATGGTACTGTGTATGCCAGTGGTTCTTTGTGTTGGATGGAAAGATATTCGTGGGACTGGTGTTTTGATTGCTGTTTATTGTCTTGAAAACTACATCAGTGTATAGAACAAACTTTATGGATAACAACTTCTTTTCTTCGTGAGTGCGACGTTTCGATACAGATTCTTGACATGCTTGACAACGGTACAAGAATCTGTATCGAAACGTCGCACTCACGAAGAAAAGACGATTCATGCATAAAGTTTGTTCTATATCGTACTTCCCAACTTCTAAAATGCCACTCAAAGAAGTTACATCAGTGTTGGCCTATTTTTCAGGATTCCCTAAATGTTGTTCCTGGTGGTTCTAAAGTAGGGGAGGCTGGTCGCAAAAGATTGTTGACAAGGAGATTTCTGGGTGTTTTTGATGACCTGTATTGTCTGTGTCGTGGGCTTTGCACCAGCCGACACTGGATCCAATCAGGGATACTCTACAACAGATAGAGTCTCCCTGATCCAATTAAGTTTCTGAAAATGACATACAAACTTTAGGTGAACGTGACCATCTTGTTCCGTTAGTAACAACAATCTACAACACCGAAGTATTAAAACATAACTGTTTATGCCTATGTCCCACTAGAAAATAAGAAAATAAATAAATAAGAAAAATAAATCTAAACAAATCACGAGTGACTTTCGATTTGGAATGACAAAATTACCCCAAACTAACCACTCTTTCAGCACATTTTTATGCAAATTTCCAATTACAAACAATCTAATTTTAGATGATATTCATCTAGTCTTCAATTAAGACGATGCTGGTGGGAGTCAATCTTGATACTAGTCTGTCATACAGATCCTGAAACAAACATATCCAATATAGCCCATGCAAGTCTAGAATATGAGGCAAGACCAGATTTTCAGAGTTTCTGAAAATGAAGAAAATCCCAGGTTTCTTTTTCATTAGATATATTTTTTATTATGAACTGTTTTTTTTCTGGAAAATATGTTCATTTCAGAGTCTAGTTGTTAGTCTATCTAGATACATGTGTTCTTTAACCTATGTACGATGGTATGCAATATGTTCGCTAATCATGAATCATCCGTCAGCTAATGTACAATACAGTATAAGATCAAATGATTAATATAATGTAGATCTCTTCAGTTATATTTTGTGAATATCTTTATATCATTCAAATTTGGTTGACATTCTGTACAGCGAAACTCTGTGACATCTTTCTGTTCATAATTTCCCGCCATACACACCAAGGGCGGGTAACTCTAAACTATTTTCATCCAAGACAGGTAAACAACGACAAGAGCCATCAGCACTGAGTAAGATAATTGTGGTGCTATTTTGAGAAAGTGTCAATTGGAATTTGAGCTGACAGTCTCGCATTACTGTTATCAGAC